GTACAGAGGAACTATCTCAACCTCTATTTATATTATTCCGATGCTCTATGTCCGAGGGAATTGTACCCGAAATCTGGAAACAGGCGTACATTACTCCTGTACTTAAAGAAGGGAATAATAATAAAATAGATAATTATCGTCCTATATCAAAACTATGCTCATTCGCGAAAGTATTTGAAAGATAGTACATAATCAAGTTTACTTTTATATTTCACCTAGGCTAAGCATAGCACAATACGGGTTTTAGAAGAAGAGATCGACAGTTTCTAACCTTATTATTAGGCACGATTACATCACGAAGGGTATGGATGATGGTCACCAAGTAGATTGTATCTATACAGATTACAGCAAGTGCTTTGATAGAATAAACCATAAAATTCTGTTGAATAAGTTAGCGATAGCAGGAATAAAGGGGACCTCTTAAGGTGGTTTTCCTCGTATATTTTGAAAACAAGTCTCAAGCAATTGTTCTCAACGGTTTTATGTCCGCCTGGCTACCCATCCCTTCAGGTGTACCTAAAGGCTCCCTTTTGGGACTGCTGCTCTTCGTAATATTTGTGAACGACATAGGAAAATTTTTCAATCACACCAAAATACTATTATATGCGGATGACATGAAAGTGCTAACTAAATGTTATTAGAAATTTATAAGATCATAAGTTACTGCAATCTGACCTAATTAGATTCGAAGCATATTGTAGCCGGAACAAGTTGGAGTTAAATATACAGAAGTGTTTTCTTATGTCGTTTACGAGGATAAATACCACCATCGAAGGCAGAGATATCTGCTGAAAGATACAGAAATCCACAGGGTGTATGAGGCACTAGATCTTGGAGTTACCCAAGATCATAAACTTATTTATGATAAACATATAGATTATGTAGTATCGAAGGAGTATAAAGCCTTGGGTTTCATCATCCGTAGCACGGCTGTTTTTCACGACCTAAAACCTATCAAAATTCTGTACTGCTCTTATGTTAGACCTGTGCTAGAATATGCCTCACAGGTTTGGAGTCCTCAACATAAGACCTATAAACCACGTATTGAGTGTATTCAAAAAAGATTTTTAAGATATTAGGTCATAAAGCACATATAAAGTCTAGAGATTACAATAATAGATGTAGCCGGTACCATTTTGATCCATTACATGTTCGACGAAATATCAACGACGCTTGCTTGTATTTAAAAATTGTTAACGGATCAATTGACTCACCCGAGTTATTATCTGAAATCCTGTTAAATGTTCCATTGCCAAATAAAAGAAAACGCATATCCTTCCACACTCCAAAAACTCGTACAAATTATAGAACTAACCATTTTATGATAAGGACAGGAAATTTATAAATAACCAAACGAATATTGATCCATTTCATACCTCACCAGCGGTGGCCAAGGCCCTTCTTACTAAAGACCACTTTGTCACATAAAAAAAAAATATTAGCTTTACTGTTATTTTTACCATAATTATGTTCATGCCCTTGTACTCACGTTTTTTTTTATTCCTTGTATTTATTTATTTTCTATAGTAACTGTTATTTAAGAATACTAAATGTGAAAAGTTATAAATGGCTTCTTAAGTATTTAAATACTTATATATATCACTCAATTATCTTTGTTAATAGCTGAAAGTTTTCCGAATTAAAATAAAATTAAGTATGTTTTAGTAAATAAAGTATGTTTTAATACCTTAATATATTTTTGTACGACATATTTGTGTAGTTTTTTTTTGGTTTTGGTGCTGGAATAAATGATATGACTGTTAGTTAGGAGTGAGTTGACAGCACAAGTGTGGCGCTATCATTGATATAAGAATGTAATGCAAGGTCTCCTTTCTCCGAGGCGACCAGCTATTCGCCACTGCCACATTTTCTGAAATAATTCTTTAAAATATTATGTATTTTTATACAATACATGTTTTAATGTGATTTGAAAGGGTCGACCACCCTAGGTGGGTAGTTAACTAGGGATAGTGCCATGCAGCAGCTTTCGTTGTTGCATCCTTACAGAAGACCAGCGTGAAGTGGAAGTTTTATGCTACTTCTGCGTTTCGCCTCGTGACTGAAATAGCCTAAGACCACTACACAATACCTACTAATTATCCACACACAAAGTATATGCATATTGTGTGTGTTTATATTGTTTTATAACAATAATATAATTATAAAATATGTTACCATATTTCTATTAATTGTAGATAGTGGTGGCCCAAAACTGAAACATCTCTATTCAATTTGGTGACTTGTTTTTACTAACTAGATATTCTTGTCAAAACATATAAAGGGTATCAATAAAACATTTTTTAAATGATTTTTTTATTCAACAATCTTTTCTTAAACTAGTAAAGGCTTGGTAAATATTTACAAGGCTTCATTATACGGCAAGGTAAAAAAACTATCCATACAAACTACAGATACGACTCTTGCGACTATCACATATTATATTATTCACGAGTACTTGATTGACACTTAGTATATGAAGAAGTATTGCTTAATAGATTAATAGAAAACATAAATAATTACGTGAAAGGATGCTTATAACTAATGTAAGCAATATAACGAAGCCACTTATAAAATAATATTAATGTATAAAACTAAACTGATTAAATTCAGCACAATTATCACTTGGGAATAATCTATGTAAAAAAACAAATATTAAACTCTCCTATTACGATTACAACAATTATAACAAATACGCTGATAGTTTGCATTTATCGAAATATTAATCTCACTTCTTGTTTTCTTTAAATATTTTAACTAAAAACTCTAAATAAATTGCAGACGAAGCTTAAAAACACACTAGATAGGCCTGTTAAATAGGAGTAGCTATATGACGTAAACCATAAGGAACATAAAACAATTCTTAGCACTCCGTAACTAATTTGGCTAAAATGGTAGGTACAAATTGGATGAGCAAATTTTATTAAACTAGATATTGATATAATTTACTTAGATAATGGAATATGACTTAAGTTTAGTAAGCAAAAAGAAGAAAAAAAATAAAACAATTTTTAGTTAAGAATTAGTTTGAAATATTTCCGACCGATCACTGGAATATAAAAACATTAAAAAACACTAACTCTTTCAATAGGTACGCTTTTATTATTTGTAGTGACTCGAAACTATTATTTTAACCGGCATTTAAACGTCAGATGCAAGTTATTAGTGTTAATTTTTTCATATTCCTCAGACATATTTTAGCACCATCCCATATGCGAGTGTACTTTAAAAATAAATTATGTTTCTTATACTTTTGAAGTACAATCACAGGTCACCGTCAATAGCATCACAATATATACATTCGCACCAATGGCATGGAAAACGAAACCTTAGCAAAATATACAAAATAATTATACAATTACCTATGGAAAAAAGCTCTAGTGTCTAGACAGTAACAGTTTTCTGCAAGTATCAAGAGGTTGGCATGTTCATGGCTTTAGAGCCAAATTCGTTGTCGTGGTAAACTTTTCAACTAAATTAATTATGTATATATTATAAATGCAAGTAATGGCAATATTTTCTGATTGACGAATTTTGCTTTTTCGTAATCATTCGCTTTTGGTTACGCATAAGAAGGCACGTGACACTACAGGGATATTTGCAATTTTTATCTATTCTAAAGTATACAATTGAAAAGGGTGAGGTAAAGAATAAATAAATTAAAAGTAATAAACTCAAACAATTATGCAAGCACCCATTTTTCAAGCGATATTGACATGGTGCACCTATCCTAATCTTTAGACATTACACTGGAATGATACTTTTTCAAGAATGTTATGTTCATATAATATAATTCTTTAGATAAAATAATAAATGGTCAACAAATAACAAGTATTCATTTTGTAACAGCATTTTTCTACACCACATAAACACCATGCTTGAAGAATGAAGAGAAAAAATCTAATGCTTAAAATAAATGAAAAAGGCAAATGACAAAGAAAGCAGAGGGATGGTTGCATAATTGTTTGCATGCGCGGAGTAGGCTCCCTACTTTATCTAAATGAATTCACATCTAACATTGTTCCCGAGCTGGTCCCACCCATGACGATGGCTTGTATGTGCAACTAGATCTCTCTCTGCATTTTACTATCAACCCTGATTCAAAAGGTCACAGAAACTTGTTTTAATTAACAGTATTTTTTGCCAAATCGTGAGAGATACAAGCAACTTGCCGTGCTTTTGCACTTCATCAAGATTGGAATGTCACATTGTTTTGGGAAATAGCTTTCATGAATTTAAATCAAAACTAAATGGATTCCAGCAAATGACACAATCGAAAGATAACAACTTTTACTTTGTGAGTTTATTGTACAACATGTACATGTTACATAAAATAATTGATTATGTCATTGAAACACGAACATGGAAAAAACCAATGATATTTTCCCAATTTCAAATTTTAAGTCATCGGGCGGAATGCAGAAATCCACAACTATGTTGAGTTTTTACATTATTAGGATAATTTCTTTAATTATATAGATATAAGTAATAACGCCTCAGTAAATGAAATGGATTAATCATTAATTTAATGAGCCAAACAAACGTCACTGCGCACGCGATGGAAAACGAACGCTTTACACTCAATAACGTTAACACAAATCAGTAAATTATTTAAACAAATAGCGACGAGAAATTCGCATCAAGTATTAAGTACCGGTTACTAATATTATATATAAATAAGTCACACGGTCCTTCACAATACCAACACTATGTGTTTCACGGTTTTACAACTAAACGTTACATCTAATCATTACTAAGTAAGTCACCGTCCTGGAAGATCAATTCACTGAATCGACTAGTATATTGCTCCGAGCGCTAATGCGTAGCGCTTCCTGCTGCACAATCGGTGCCCGGGGGGCAGCGTTTGAATGCCCTACGGCTGAATAAATAGTGCAGTTTGTCGCATGTTATTGTTCTGTTGGCGCAACGGCAGCGCAGGGAGATGAAGAGTGGTGTCGTTAGAGAGCGATGGGGCGACGCAGGGCGCGCGGCGGCGCGGGTCAAGTGGCGTCGAACTCTATGCGGTCCCAGGAGTAGTGCTTGCGCGCGGGGCGGGGCGGCGGCCGCGGCAGCACGCCGCCCAGCAGCGGGTCGCACTGCGGCACGTGCCCGCGCCCGAACAGGTTCGGGATCAGCTCCGTGTCCATGTCGTAGCCGTCGCCGTCCATACCCACGTGGGCGCCGAGCCCCTCGAAGTCCTTCAGGTCGAACTCGCACGCGCGCTCCTCGTAGCCGCCGTGGCGCGACTCCTCGTTCTGGAACGAGGGCAGCGACAGGTCGTCCATGTCCTCGAAGCCGGTGCGGTCGTGCTCCAGGATGTCGCCGTTGGTCAGCGGGGTCATGCTCATCCGCTCGGGCACGTCGTCCACGATGTCCATGGCCATCTGCGGCTTATCGTCGCAGTCGCCCGACAGCAGCCTACCGAAGAAGTCGTCGTGGCCGTCGGAGCTCTGGCCCGTCGCGCCGAAGTCAGAGTGGAAGCCGTTGCCGCCGAGCAGGTCTACGCTCAGCTCCGCGTCGATGTCCGCCGCCGTGGCGTCTATGTCGCATCGGCTCGAGTCGCTCACCGCGTGCATATCGGCGTGGTTCATGATCTCGTTTTGTATGTCGTTAAGCTCCCGTTGAAGTTCGTCGGCGGCGAGCGAGTCGCGCACGTGCGTGTCGCCTAGCATATCGTCGCTTAAAACATCCGCTGGGGAGAACTCGTTCGAGCCGCTGGTCAAGTAGCCGGCATCAATCGTGCGGTCCACTGCGACGTCCTCGACCGCGGACGGGGGCAATTCACCGTTTTCGACCAGAATCTCCAGCACGTCGTCCATGATGCGGCTATCTTCGCTATCTTGGATGGACAGTGGCGCCTGAGGCATCGGCGGAGGGGGCGGGGGTGGGGGTGCGCGCTCCGGTTCGAAGTGCGTGGGCAGTATCGCTATCGGGACGACTTTGACGCCGTTGAGTATGTAGGCGGGGTTGGCGGTCTTCGGTTGTGCGTCGGCGGCGGCCTCGGGCGCGGCGGCCGGCGGCGTGACGGTGAAGAGCCGCACGAGCCGCTCGGGCGCCGTGTCGGCGAGCAGGTAGCGCGGCGCGGGCGCGGGCGCGTGCTGCAGCGCGTCCAGCTGCGCGCGCAGCTGCGTCACGCACAGGTGCGCCTGCAGCAGCCGCCGGCTCTGGTCGCTGGCGGCCGCGCCCGCCGCCTCCCTGCGCACCGCCTCGAGCTGCTGACGGGACGCCTCCAATTTTCTCTCAAGCTCCTCTATCTGGCGCCTCTGCGACTGGACGATGTCCTCCGGTGGGTCGGGGTCGCGCATTTCGGGCGAGGCGATGGAGACGGGCGACTTGGGCACCTCCTCGTGCATCTCCGCGAGGTAGGGCCGCAGGCGGTCGATGAGCTGCGGCTTGGGGCCGGAGACGCGCAGGTTGCGGCGCTTGCACTCGGCCCTCAGGTCCGACACCTTCATGTCCTCGAAGCGCGCGGCGGCGAGGGGCGCGCAGGGGGCGGGCGGGGGCGGCGGCGGCGGCGGCGCGGGGAACGCGTCCGACGAGTCCGAGGCGACGGAGGCGGCGGAGGAGGGCGCCGGCGAGGCGGGCAGCAGCAGCGGGCAGCTCAGCTGCAGGAGCAGCTGCTGCTGCTGCAGCAGGAGCTCGTACGGCGTCTCCACGGAGCCGGGGGGCGAGGACGCCTTTTGGGCGTTCGGCGGGCCCTTGTACTCGTGGAACTTCAAGCGGGACTTCTGCTGCTGCTTCTGTTTGTTCTTCTTTCGATTTTTGTCCTTCCCCGGCGCGGGGTGTTGGGGCGGCGAGGCGACGCTGACCGGCGACAAGGTGGAGGGCGGGGAGGGCGACGGCGACACTTCTTCGGGGGGCCCACAGTACGACGAAGGATGCTGGGGTCGCCCCGAGGAGCCTTCGCTTGTCGCTTTGAATGCTAAGGTACCGCTCTTAACAGCAGTTTCTATATTCTCTTCAGTATGTAATATGTTTTTTTTGATGAGCTCGAGTGGTCCCGGCCTGTGAGATAATTGGTCGTTCAACTGATCGGCCAACCGTGCCTTCTTCAACATTCGTTGTTTCTCCGCCAAACTGGGATCCACATGACTCTCCTATAAATAACAGCCATTTAGTTTAAAATGACAGTTAATAATTATAATTGCACTACCTATATATAACAACTCATAAATACGTACTTGTTCTAAAATATGTCGCCGCTCAAGCTCCTGGCGATCAGGCCGTCGCTGTATTTTTGCTTTTAGCAAATCTCCAGTCTTTGCCCGTTCCAGTTGCTTGCATTGTTCAAAATACGCAGCTGGCGTGTTTAACGCTGTAAATACATTTACAGATAAGCAAATTGTCTTTACAATTAATTTTTAAGCTCTGAAAATACTCTGAAAACTGCAAGCCACCGACGTCGGGAAATTACGATTATCAGCGAACCAAAGGAAATTTCACTAGCCCACGGCGTTGAGACCGTAAATAAAATGAGTCCACCATCACCCACGCGCGAGTTCCATCGCGCTATAACCGTCGGGCTTCTCCCACAAGTTCGTCGCATGTCATTACTAATTGTTACGCTTTTAGAAGATACTTTGGCAAATATGTCACAACAGTGAATGTTGCACAAAAATAATACACTTACGTGGCATATTAAATAAAACTAGTTTACGGTTTGTAAAAACAAAATAATTGACGGTAGCCGGGGTTAACTATGACATCAAGACGTATAACAACTTAGTCTGTCCCGTGACCATGAACGCTGGAAAGGGTTCGAAACGTCGGGAGTTCAAATCAAAATAAAAATAAAATCGTAAACTAGTTTCATTTAATATGTATAATATTCGCGTAAAATCAAGAAAACAACACTTACGCGGCATTATACCCTGTGCTACCAGCTGATTGAGTGGACGCCGCATCGTCAGCTTCACTTTCAACGCTGCAAAATAAGAGACGAACGATGTTAGTACTCCACGCAGATTCGTCAAATGGTAAACATTTCATTAGCGCACGTAGAAACAACAAATTACATTTTCCTCAAGGGATAAAGCCGACATTATATCCACTACAAAGGCATGACTTTGATGTGAGGACTGTGATTTGGAATTTCAAATTTGTACGCGCCTCCGTTTTCATAAAGCAATGGGAACTGATCGGACAGAATGGTTGCGCAGGGGCGCATCTATGACGCCTGGTGACGGATTTCGACGTAGCACATGGATCGATTTGGTCGACGTGATCGACACGTCGATTGGTTGCGATTCAACGGACGTGTCGATACGGCCGGCCGTCGAGCGTAGGCGAATCTATGCTGTTGTTTGCACGCAGACGAGCGCGGGCCAACGAGCGATGGGCGGACAACGTTGGCGCGATGCCAACATAAATAAACACTGCACAAGGAAACTAGTGTTATGCCGCGACCGTATTACAGACGAAACATTCACTACCACTGGGCCGAATATTGTGGGTTACTGGGCGGCGCGGTTACATTTTAATTCCGCTCCTCAAACGTTCCCATATTACAATGGGGTAACGCTTTATCGAACAAGGGCTTCAATGTTTATAACGATGTTCAATGGCAGCTCAGTTCGGTGGCGGACACTCCGGGCTCAATTAAATACAGTAAAGTTTAAAGATGGTTGAGGAGAATATTCGACTATTATTGAATTAAGAAAAATTGATATATTATGAGTAATTGTGTCTAAGGAGGAGGCTATGAGTATATTCCTTATTTGGGTCGCTAAACGTTACCATATAATAGAACTATAGTACTCTGAAACTAGTTTTTTTGCACCAAAAGCTTACCACCAGTTGCGTTACTGATGTCTCAGAGATCGTATTAGTGGCATCATGAGAGTATCATTTAAAAAATCTGACGACCCACTTCTTTGTCTCCCTTTCCGGTAAAAAAGGCAGAATTTTCCGTTCCACAAGCGGTTTTTTTTAGAAAGTCGTCTATGTTTTTCAAACGCAATTTGATATATTTCAAAGCTTTCATATATTCGGCATTTCATATAGCCGATCCTTTCCTTAAGACGGCGTTAGCTAGAGTGAAAACGAGATTTTAGCTTGTTAATGTTCCATGTTAAGTTGTGGGTGGGTTATTAGTTAGCATTCCAATGTCGGCAGGCGTTCTGAACGACCGGAAGTGCGAGCCGCGCGGAGAATTCTAATGTTCACGTTAAATCCGAGTAACGATAGCAGCGGGCGAATTGTTAGTGTTTTGTATGTAAATGTGCGTGCAAACGCGGCGTCGGCGTCTGTTAAGACTAACTATGAATTGACAACTAAAAGAATAAGTCACAAAATTAGTGTTAGATTCATTAAAAGTATAGTTGTATGCTAGTTTGATATTTATATCAATTGTAAATATCGTCTCCTAAGGGAATAAAATATGGAAAGGGAGCATGCTTTATTTCACCCCTTATTACTTTTAGTTGTTCATTAAAATACAATGGGACCGCACCCTTAATATTTACTCTGGTCCTCCTAATAATTGGCTATCCGTATAGCCCAAATACCCGTGTATTGAAGTTGTATTACTCATAACGTGTTATAATTATATTGTTTTGTTTACCGGGAGAGGTAGTAAATCGCTAGTTAGCCCGCCATTAGTCCTCGAGCGCGCCGTAGGCGAGGTCACGCGTTCTTTTCTACGCCGTTCGCGTCATCTCGCGTTGTTTCACCCAGTGTAATAATAACAGGGAACGCGTAACCGTCACGTTTCGTAAACGATCAATTCGCATATATATTGTCTCTAGAACTTACCGAAACGTAGTACCTAACCGGGTTTTTATATTTATACAACTGCACGGGAAATATGAAAAGTTGAAAACAATTTAGGGTGTCTATGTGATAGCCCAACTGATATAAACAATTAAACAAATTTTGTTTCAGATGGCTCAATAACGAATCTTGTGGCAGTCTGTGGCGGAGGCCTATGTTCAACAGTGGACTAGAATAAGCTGAAATGTGACGGTGATGATGGGAAAAGAGGTTTTTATGGAGTAGCGAACAAAGAGTTCTGATGGTAAATAATCACCACCCAACTGCTTTATTAGCATTTACTTTTTATTACGAATTTGGAATCCGTCTGTGTGTCAAATCTTCATTGCTGATTGTTATTGAGAATTTCTATTATACTGGCGCCATTATATAGGACGTTATATTAATCTCTACTCTGCTTCCGAACCACAAATAAATACAACGAATAAATTGAATGTATAATTTGCCATGTGTCTATTGTTATAAAAGACTTTTATTGTAACAATTTATTTTTGTCATCAACATATAGAATTGTTTTCATATTGTAATGTTAAGTTGTCTGCGGAATGTATTTTTATCACTGGCAAGGTTGCCAAAGATCCGTCTTGATTTATTAAATGGATTAGATGCCGACATCGTTCTAATGAAATTAATGAATTAATGAGGGGGGTTAATGGCTTGTTAAAATAGACGGTACCAATGAGGTTTTGTTGAATATACGATTCAATGAAGCTTGGACTAATTGTCACATGTTGCACTTTGTAACAGCACACAACGTATCAGAAAAGAAAATAAGAACGTTCGTGTCCACGAATCAAAGGTCAAAAGAAATGTGCTGTCCAATATGTTGTGTAACCGCTTGATATATAAACATCAATATTGGGGATAAAAATATAAACGGCGCACACCAAATAAGCAGCAGTTTTTGCATCTGCAACCCTTACGGGTGTTGCAAATGGATGGGTCCATGGACGTAGGCGGCGCTAATCACGTTAAAATTAACTTGACACTTTCTCCAATAAATAAAAACCGACCGACTCGCGCAGTGGGTTCGAGTACTAACTGGTACTCGGCGCAACGAAAGGTGAAAGAGAAGTGTAGGTTCATACATTATGATAACCTTATTATCTATGAAATTGACATAAAACAAAAATTATCAATAAAATCATGTCTGTTTTATGTGAGCCGCACTTAAATATTTTTTATTCAATTTTTTAGTACTTGTAGTTAGTTATACCGGCAACAGAAATACATCATCTGTTAAAATTTTAAATATGTAACTATTGTTAATGAGATACAGCCTGGCGACAGACGGTTAGACAGACAGCGGAGTCTTAGTAATAGGGTCCCGTTTTTTAGATAGATAGATAGATAGTCTTTATTTGTAAAAACATGTTGTACATACATTGCATGCAAGATATTAAAAATACATCATACAAACTGGCACCTTTGAGTACGGAACCCTAAAATCGTCGTTTGAATGAAGCTTCACTTACACTCCTTGTGTTTCCCCATGGCCGGTTGGAGGGGGCTGTCGTCCACGACCACCTTAGGGGGCGAGACGCGCGGCGGCGAGCTTGCCGGCTCGCTGGCGCCACTGATGCTCGCCTGCCGCCCGGCCATCTCCTCCGCGCCCGAACTAACAAGTGCATTCGATAATTACTGTTATATAGTTTTTTTTTACGTGAGAAAGTGGCAAACGAGCCGGCAGTTCACCTGATGTCAAATGATAACCGCCGCCCATGAACATTTGCAACACCCGTAGGTTTGCAAATGTGTTGTCACCTTTAAATATTGGGCCCCGGCTACCTCACTGACCACACGAAACGCAGCACTTCTACTTTTTGCCGGCCTTCTGTGAGGTCGTGGTACTTACCCGGACGGACCTGCCCATTCGTGCAACATTTTTATGTTCTTTATATGTTCTGAGCAGAGGCCACCTCTTTCACGTGGGCATGTGGACATAGTCCACCACGCACCCCGCTGCGGATTGGTATACTTCACATACCTTCGAAATACATATTTTTTGTCATTATTTCGATTAAACGGAGGTTTCCCAGTGATGTATTCCTTGACTGCACTTAAATAGTAATAAACAATTTCATTGGTGCCGGCATCGGGATGCTAATTATCCCGACTCGCTAAGAAAAGCATTGAATAATTATTCATTAGGAAAATACGCTGGCTTATCAATTTGCACGAAAAGATAGAGTAAAGAATAACAAACATGCTAGCTAATGTAACTAGTTCCCGTGAAAGGTGTTAAAAATCTACTATTATGTAAAGATATTAAAGGTTATGACGAATTTAGATCGTTTAAGCTTTTACGACATTTTAATATATATAATGTATATACACATGTAGTTGAATAATTGTATTTCTGTAAACTAAAATATTTATCTATAACGTCAAGCCATGTTGACGTGAATTGCTACTGCAACCGAAATGGTACACAATGGAGTCTATCATTTCGATAAAACAAATGATGAAGGGTGTTTAGTTATCCAGTTCGCATACATTAGAATGTTAATGTTTTTGAACCGACAATGGTCGTCCTGAATGTGCGTGGTACATACATCGTACTGATATTATTATAAATAGGGGCTTTTGTCAGATATTGTATGTATATATAATTGTATATGTACGTTATTATACATAAATTTCATTGTCGTGTAAAAACCAGACATTTAACTTTAAAAAGAATGACGAAGTCTTAAATAGATACCAACCGACGAAAGGTTTATAATAATACGAATAGCCTTATTATGTTAATGCCAATTCTTTGAAATCATTTAATATAACGAAATTGTTAATTATAAGTGCTGACTAGTCACGTGCATATTTTCGAAATAATAAATAATATTTCGAAGATCTGGGCAGGGCACACAGGCAACGCGGCGTTGGACGGCCACCCGCGAGAAGGACTGTCGACCTGACCAAAGTCGCGGGACTTCGCTGGATGCAGGGCGCTTAAAAACGATTGAAGTGGAATGTGAAGTCCGCCAATACGCAGGGTGGTCGCCTGGTGGACTATACATTAATACACATTGTGCAGAGGAGGCCTTTGCCCAACAGTCGGTCATAATATTTAGGCTTATACTTTACTGTTATACAACGTGGCGCTACTAACGCGACCATAAATCAACAAACATATAGAGGATAACTTATTAAAATTGTATTAAACATTTACATTCTTTAAACATCAATATTTACAGAGTTATTAAACTTTCCAAGACAAACAATTTTACTTATAAAACTGTAACGTAAAGCTCATTTGTAAAGGTCACAAAGCATATGAATGGGTTGAATGAATTTAAAAGAGATAAAACATACTGTTAGTAGGAGAGATTTGTAATGTGACGCTGTGGCAACGAATGAAAAAGTCTCTGAATGTATGAATCAGTCAGTTATAGTTGTATAGGATGTTCCAGATGTTGTTTCTTTTTTATTTAATTATTTTGTTTGAAAAATATATTTTTTTCATTTAACGTTTATATATTTTTTTATGATTATTAGTACCGTAAGTAGCGTTAGGCGTGTGTTCATTTATTGTCGCGGTTGTAACGCCTCGCTGTATATGTATAGACAGATCGTGTGGGTAGTGGGCCTACCTGAAGGTGTCGTCGGAGGGCGGCGGAGAGACGGGCGAGGCGGGCGAGGCCGGCGAGGCGGGCCGGCTGCGCTCGCGACGCGGCTGCGGCTTGAACCACTCCGGGTAGATGGCGCTCAGCGTCTCCACCAGGTCGTGGTCGAGGGTCACGCGCCACGACGCGCGCCCCTCCGAGCCCTCCGAGCCGCTGCTCGCGCCGCACGACGAGCGGCTCTCTGCACATTGTTGTAACGTAACCAGCTATGGGTGGATCACGCTTCGAATCTTACATAAATTCGAAGTAAGTTAGTGTGCCAAATCGCAGTGGGGTCACGAAACTGACTATCCCATGCCCTATGTAAAGTCTTTGGGTTTCAGCAGTGAGACATATTTAGGGTGTTTCTTTATTTTACAAAACAACAAACTGATGTGGCACAATGTGGTTTCATGCTATTTTAATCCGCATCAATAACATACACAAAGAACATCGAATTACTCATCATAGGTATGATGGTATAAAGAAGTAGAAACATTTCCTGATGCATATTCATCCCGATCTAGTAAGTACCATGGCTTAGAAACCAAAATTTAAAAGAAGGCTTTAAAACTTATCACATTATATTAGTTTTGGTAAAATAAAATTAGCAATAATAATAGGTTCATAACATAGAAACCGATCTAGGAACATCTTAGGATCTTCCAAATAAAAATAGATCTACAAAGATGCGCACAATATAAACATTTGGAGCGTGAATTCCCGCGAAATAATAGTGTTTAGTTAGACCATCCAAGAGTGTTAATGCCCAATACAGGTTTTGATTACAAGAAAGCCTTTTTCATCTGAAATAAATATGTTTATTTTTCAGTATAAAAAGAACTGCGTTTACATTTTCGAACGAAGTTCCTTATCTTACGTTATTGACGATAGGTGAATAAGAGATAGGACGAAAAATACTTTGAGCAATTAAAATTATTAGAAAAAAGTACGAAATGTTTTTCGCCGCTGTGGGATTCTAACCCACGTCTTCGGGATTCGCGCCCTGATGCTTTAGCCACTAAGCTAAACGGCCGATTGCCACACCGGCGTCTACTACAAATTTTAATGTTTACTCTTAAAGGCACAGACTAGCACTGTAAAGTTTTAAAATTACTTTGAGGAACAAACATCAAGATATCAATATATTTTATTGCTGGCTTTCTTGTACAAATTAGCTGGACGGGCAACTTGACAACAAACTATTTAAAAGGCATTTTGTATTGCCTCTCGGGAATTGAATATTTTTCCCGCTAAAAAGTTGTCCAAACTTTAGAAAAAGTAATGGTCGGTAGGTGTAAGGTCTGCTAGTATGGCTGATGAGGGAGAGTTGGAGATTGTCTGTTGTGCAGTATGGGGTTGTGCAGTATGGGGTCGTGCGTTGTCGTGTAGGAGTAGCGGGGTCGACCAATTGACCAAAGCTGGTTCCAGATGTGCTAGCTTCTCCATCATTGTCATCAGTTCTTCACAGTACACATTTGCAGTAATCCTCATGCCGTTTTGTAAAAAGCTGCGATGACCGGCACTAGATCACCAAACAGTGACCATTACCTATTTAAGGGTCGTTTTTCCTTTAGGCCATTGCTTTGGTGCTGAACCAGGATCTAATAAGCCCACTGAGCTAAAACTCACTGAGCCCTTTGGACTGTTGAAAAAAATCCATTTTTCGTCGCACGTAACAATTCGGTTCAAAATTCCTTCATTTCTGTACCGGTTGAGCAGCGCGAGGTAGGTCTCGACGCGTACGTTGTATGTATATAGAGCTTTGATAACTCCAGTGTCCGGGCACTGTGTTTTGGAGACTGAAGGGACGGGGCAGCAGACCTACTTATTACTTGTATTCTCGCAAGTCTAAGCTATCTATCATTAAAGCTCTAAGCTATCATTAAAGCTAAGCTAAGTTATTGTTAAAACGATATAAAAAGCGTTTTATAATTTACTTATTTAATTTTTTTTTCGGTTTATCATACCGTTGTTTTAATTTTATTAGCACGGAACCACGAATGCAAGCGTAATTTTTGTGTATTGATTCTACATGTAATGCAAAGCCAAAGGAATTTTTTTAACTAGCCAGAAAAGTATTACGTAATGTCTAAAACGAGCAATAAAGCCGAAAATATAGGAGAGGAATAAATAAAACATCTGTCCGCTCACGTGAGTTATGTAATAAAAAACTGAAATTTACGCGAACTAGGAGAAACAACGAATAAAACATAAATAGAAAAAATACTGGCGGTTCAGCTGCTCCGAAAAGAAGCGAGCGAGAGGAATGTGCAATAGAAAAAAGTTAGTGCCCACGTTGTTTTGTAACAACATGTCCATTAACAGATATTGAATTTATGTCTGTATAGTACCTATTGAATTCCCTCGAGAGAAGTGGGAAACTGTCGGATAGTAACAACAAATTTCATTTTAACATCTTCAATTTCGAGCGGAGGTACTGATAAACAGTGTGAGGGATTGGGCGGGTTAGTGACAAAGTTCAGAGACATCTACATGTTTTAAAGTTCAGAGATTTAAAATAACTTCTTTAGAATCTGGATCCATGGACTGGATCCATTTTTTACGACTGACAAATATCAGAAATGGTAATCACTAAGGAGAGATAATCAAAATAATGTTTGTTGTTTCATCAAAGTTCAACTTCTTTATGCATATTGAGTAGTGGCATTCCAACGATGCGTAAATGATTGGTGTTCAACAAAGACGACAATGAACAATTTTGAAGGCCTTCTTCAGACCTTCATGACGATGAACTTGAATTTATGAACTTTTATTTATCCTGTATTAAAACTTAGGTTATTATGAATGTCAATCCAATATAATTATTGGTCGATTGAGAGGTTACTTTCAAATTCTATCCATAATCTTGTTGTACAACTTTTCTACAGTAAACTAAAATGAGTGTCATCAGTTCAGCAACGGATTCACCATACTGGTATATTTTGCGGATTAATTGTTAGAATGCATAACCTTTGTGCCATAAAATTTTTTTCTTCTTTATAGTGTTAAAACATACCATTAAACTTATTAAACATAATCACGTTTTATAATATATTAGTCCAAGCTTCACAATTGACTAATGAGATAATGGCAACTATTCCCATTATCTCATTAGTATATTATATAGTCGGGATTTAGTGAGACAAAATAGTGGAAAAGACAAAACGGTGGAAAATTAACAGAAGACCATCACATAATATAAGCCTTTACAGATTTAATTTCTATATTTTATAATTTATTTAATTTAAAAGATCGATCATTTATTATCTATAATAAAATATGCGAACAGTCTTAGCTTATTGGCTAGACCATTTAATTTGTAGTACTCAAAGTATTACAGATTACAATATTGTAAACACATCAGCGCACGTGCTTACTGACGGCCGTCCTCTGAGTCACTCAGTTTATGTACGAATTGTACGTACCATGTATTGCGCGCGTACTATATACGAAGGTCGATTAGGAATGAACTGTTTTATAATTTGTGCCTGTAAATAGTTTATTTTTAACCTTTTTCATCATATGATTCGCATACTGATGATAATAATTATTACTTTGTTTACGAGACATATTTTTACTAAATTACTTTATTTACGTCAATTATTAATTACGTCATAATTTTTACTAAAACTAAAAATTTTACAACTCTTCTGTAAAATGGTGTTTATTTTATTAAATCAATTACCTACATCATACTGTGTCTGTGATAAATTTGTTCTATTATATGCTTCACTTACAAAACCTGTTTTTATCTGATAAGTGATTTATTAAGTCACATAATAATTACAAATATCAGTATTTAATATTCTATACAATTGCATTCAATATCTTACCGGTTACCACAATATTGCGAATAAATGAGACGTTTTTCCTAATGGGATACGCTATACTGTGTACGACGTAAATGATGTACTAAACTAAGGGCTCTACAAAAGCATAGATAAGACTTCTACTTTATATATTAATAAAAAATATATGAAGAATTGGATGAAAAATGTTTTTGTGGATTCACTAATATAAATGAATGTTTAATTTTTCCATTGTGAATATTATGGTAGATTTTCAAGCAAGTTCGCTGATGCAAACTGTTCTAAATTTCTACATACCAACGCACGCGGTCAATATATTTCTTTTCGTTCAATCTATTTATAAACGTCACGTTACGTCTTTACAGACATTAGTAGTATCTTTTTTTTCTTAAAAATATTGCTCTCACTTTAGGATAATATTATCCTGTGTTGTAAGGACGTTTTACAAACATAAATTGTACGAGTACAAACACCCAGACGCGAAACAACTATCTGTGGGTCGCACAAATAGTTGTCCCGTGTGGGAATCGAACCCACGACTCCCGACGCCGAAGCCAATACCTTGGCAACTGCGCCACGGAGTCATCGATTATAATATTCCATCAAATTATAGCTATGATCGAAAGTGAATCTTAATTACCTGTCCTGACAATGAGAACTTTTTATTAACTGTATGGATACCGGTCGAAGTGTAAATATAAATGATATATGATGCATATTACATAAACATGCAACATGCAGTAAATTAATTAACTATGTAAACTGCTTGCAAGTTGGCAGCACGGGCCTGCCCGTATGAACATTCATCTCGGAGATTAGTCAGTTGTCGCCGGCCCACGCTGCCTATGATATCATTTCGGCAAGTATACGCTGCAAGATAGGCTACTTAGACCCGTCATCTGGTACAGTCACATAGCTTCAATAATAGACACATGCATCGAACATTCCAGTTGTACGTGATGTTCTTGAAATACTTTTACTTATAAGCATATATCGAGAAACCGACGCCAAGTCTATTTTTTCTTACACATATCGGTCTGTTTCGGAGTGGCCGGCCTGTACTACTAAGATTTTAGATGATATTGTTTACGCTCGGCGCCTGAAGAAAATAACTTAGCCTTCGAATACCATCGGCCGCTTTCAGCGGAATAAAATATTAAAAGCTCACACTGAATACTGGTACTGCACTAGCTTCTTGAATGCAAACTCAATACGAAGCATTTGTCCTTTATCTTTATACAAATGATCAGCCCCGGCTTCGCACGGCTTCGATGTTATTGTCATTTTTAACGTTTTTTACCATGGTGTGTGCAATAAAGATTAATTCATCCATTTGATCTATCTTAAAGGTTTAAACAGCGTGTGCAAGTAAGCGTACAAAAATATGTTTCTTTCTTTTCTTTCTTTTTTAAAAAAACACTGCCCTTACTTTAGGATAACATTATCCCGTGTTGTAAGGACGTTTTTACAAACACAAATTTCACGTGGACAAACACCCAGATGCGAAACAACTATCTGTGGCTCACACAAATAGTTGTCCCGTGTGGGAATCGAACCCACGACCCCCGACGCCGAAGCCAATACGTTGGCAACTGCGCCACGGAGTCATCAACGTCAATGTTTGTACGTTCACTTAACAAATCTTTGAATTTCTTGGCTATTATGCATGTATACTAAATAATTATAAGGTTTATATGTAGTATACCTCTTGATTCACTATCTATT